CGAACGAAGGCAAATAAAAAAACAAAAATAAACTTACTGAACAATGGTATCTGTGCCCGAAACTTAATAAATAGAAATTCACAAGATTTGTACTTCACATTCCGAAATCTTATTTTCAACTGCGCCTTGGAAAGGCGGCAAATCTTGCATTTGCATATAATTATTATTTCTAGGGACAGTTTTGACCAACCAAAATGCAGGAAGCGCCCTTCTAAGAAAATAAAAGTAAAATTTGATTTTCTAAATATGGGGATCATTAATTACTAGGGAACGCTTAGTCTTGGCAGGGACCAGAGCGCACTAAAATAACACTGCGCTGGACAGTTGGCATGATTTATTGAAATCAAAACAATTATCTAAACATTTTAAACCGGTCTCTGATAATTAAAACCAGCACCAACATTCGGAGTCTGGAACAAATATTTTCATTGTGATTAAGATGTCAGGGTACAGATACTGTCAGATGATTAGTTTGAAGTGGTCATTCTTTGGTCAGTAGAGACGAGTACATGGCCTATGGTAGCTTAAGTCTCGAGTCTCAAGGGCTCTTGTCTTAATGGATTGATAATAATGTTGATATATGATAAAACACTTGCTAATGAAGTGTCGACTGCCATTGTTGCTGATTAATTGAAAATCATGCCCTTCATTTATGAGATATTCTCTATGATTACAATAATACAGATTACCATAAATCCATTATAAAAGGCAGTGGTTTTATTTTTTAGATTGATTTTTATAGTACATTAAATGATAATAGATGCTGCTTTTACTTGTAGCAGAAAAAGCTGTGCACCAAGAGTATGAGAGTTTTGTGGCACTATTCAAGGCCAACTTGTCCTAAACTTTATGATCATTCTCCATTAAGTAAGGTTTGTTGTAAGAGAGGGTATCAAGGGTTTAAGACTTACTTGATTCAAGGAGAAACAACTAGGTCCTTCAAGTGCAGGATATAAAGCACTTTTACACAGGACCTTGGGTTTTTTTAAAAGTCTTTTCTGGAACACTTGTTTCTAATATTAACTTAATAAGCGTGGCATCAAACTTGTTACCCCTGGATTTGTAGTAAAAATGTGAATGTGCAGGTGGGTCTGGCTTTACACTGTTGGCCTTAATTTATACTCTTAGCCTTTCTTTATATCTATGTCCTAACTTTATACTCATGTCCTAGCTTTTTACAAGTTCCCTGGCTTTTACTCATGGCCTAGGTCTATAACTATAGCCATTCAATACTCAAATGGCCAGTGATTAATTTAAAAATCAGAAAAATTTCTCCATATTACAGTAAAGTTAATGGAGTGATCATTTTAGTTATGACAGGACATGAGGTTATTACTGATGGTCAAGACAAACTGACCAGAGGGCAGCTGGATGCTTCACTAATGGACTGATAAAGTCTTATCATACCATTGTCTGTGTTAAAATTACCATTGAAAATGACCATTTACTATATGAAATAAATGGGTTTTATGCCATTTTCAACCCTTTTTGATGATTCAAAGTGTTCTATAATGATGTCTTTAGGGGATTGTTAATATTATCTTAAAGGAAAAAAAAAGCATATTCATTCAAGAATAATTTATTTTGCACATGCATTCTCTTAGTTTCTCACTAGAATTGTAAACACCATTCTTGTGCACATGCATTCTCTTAGTTTCTCACTAGAATTGTAAACACCATTCTTGGTTTATTCATTTTTAGCTCAACTATTCAAAGAATAAGGAGAACTATTGTGCTTACCCTGACATCGGTGTCTGCATTGGTGCCACACTTTGGTTAAGTTTATGCGTGCAAATTATCCCAAAAACTGCTGAACGGCATTGGTTGAAACAGCACACACTTATTTGAGAGCCCAATAGAAGCGGTCACTGTCCAAGGCCAATAATTTTAACATGGTTTTGACAGAATTATTGGCACATTTTGAACATTGAAATTTCTACAGTTTCTAGGCTCTTGTTTTACTATCAAGCACTGAGAAAAGTCCAGTGCGCTATCCAACCGCCAGCTTTTGTTTAGATATAAAAAAAAACCCATTTAATTGCAGAATAAAAGTATAAACCAGTATGTCGATAATTCATGTGAAAAAGAACAACAACAGGAATTGGCCATTTTCATATTTGCTACCATAGAAACCAGAGTAGATAAAAAAGACTAATTTGATATTTTATTTGCAGGTGATATTACGGTTGTTTAAATATAATGGAATATTTATGTTTGCTATTGATTGCATTGTGATAATATGGCACGGTTTTTATATGTGCCAAGTGGTATGTCAATACAAATACTGGCCATCATAAACATTCCTGGTACACAAGATAATTTTTCTTGGTCATACAACGCTGACAGTTTGTAATACTTTCATTATGAAAGTTTTACAAAAATTCTTTGAAGACTTTGACTGTTTAATTTATTACTGCAGTCGGGATGGAATAAATGTCTTAAGATATTAATGATATTTTCACTGCCAGGATTTTTTTTTTGTGCTCCCACCTTCTTGAGAGAATTTGCCTCTTTTGAAAGCAGAAACAAGTCGAAACTTCCTTGTTTACCAAATTGCTATAAAAAAAATGTCATGAACAAATTTGCTTTTAACAACTGAATTACTATAACTTCTGTCACATATTTTTATTTTTTTAATTTTACTTTCCTGCAATAAAGCGTCTTAGAAAAGTTAAAATTCTTTGTGACAAGGAGTTTTTTAATGACAGAACAGATTGATCTAGAGTTGACCTTGATAAAGAGAGACATATGTCACGCAGTGTTGTAAACCTATTGATTTCACAAAGCTATTAAGTTAAGTATAAATTACCTTGAAATGCTAAATTATAAAACATGTTTTACGTCAGGTGCCGTTGTTATTGTTATTTTTTGTATGTGCGTGACATATGTTTGTGCTGCTGTAAAAGCTTCGAATAACAATACACACAATAGTTTAAACATGTATTTTTTATGTAGATATGGAATTGTTTTGGGTGTTGATTTTTTTTTTTTTTTTTTTTTGTTTACAAGAGATGAAAATCTGAACATCTGGTATTTTATAATGATTAGTCAATGTTTTATTCATGAAAGTGACCCAGTTTCACTGGTGCGTTACTTTGTTGACAAACTCCACACTACCTCTACTATAACGCACCGGTTGACAGTCATCCCCGGAACGATCGATCGATAATTGTCCCAGAAAATGCACAGTTATCCCGGGCTAATGGAAAGTTTTATTTTTAAACAAAAGCTTTTATTGGCCGTGTTTAAACAATCAAAGTACCTGAAGTACCAGCACAATAAATCTTCATGAAACTTTTCAGCTGTATTAATTATTACAACAATAGAATTGTAAGCTGCCTATTGTTCTAAAATTAGATAGAAATAATTCCCTTTAGGAAATAGATACCTTTTATCTCATTGCGAAATTATTTAGAATGAAAGAGTTTCCCTATTTACTAACAAAATTAGCCATTGTGGTTAAATAAACATGTTGAATGCATAAGAAGAAAAGAATCAATGAGCTAACCATGAATTATGGCAGTATTGTTTCCATTTTTTTGTGATGGAAAAAAAAAAGATTTTTGAAAATGAGCTTTTTTTATTCTAGCATGGAGTTATTAAGTGCATGATGAAAGGGAAATGTAATTTTGTAAATAAAAACAATTGGACCAAAATTTGTAGCTGGGAATTAAGGATAAGAATCTTATTGAATTTTGTTTAGGAAAAAAAGATACCGTTGATTCATCAATACATTTTCCAACAAAGCATATACCTCAAAAGGTTTCAATGATTTTGATATTGTATTTCATTTAAAATGTAGTTCAGACTTGGTTGTCGCGAAAAAAAATAATAGAAAAAGAATGAAAACAAAAAATAGCAGACACTGAGTTGTTTCCCTTTGACCCCTTTCTCTATTTTGAAAGCAATTTAATAGACTATATATTTAGAACAGTGTCAAGTGGTCAAAGAATGGCAGCAAAATTCCTGGCGACCAGATGCCCACTGTTATTATCTTCATATTTGAAGAGCAATTGACTATTCTTGACTCCAAGGACTGAAGAGTATCCAATATTGGCTATATTTCTGACCTTTTCACCTGTCTGGAAATAGGCAGACAATCAATAAAATGTAATCAAAATTTAATAAATGTCACCAAAATATTCACACAGACATGAATTTTCCAATTAATATTTGATCACATGAATCAGGTAATAGTGCTCAAAAAAAGGAAGAAAGATGACTCTAAATTAGAAATTATTGCCATGAATTATTGATATAATATTTCATATTTTTAACTTTGAAACATAACTGAATTGAATTTAAGGGGTAAAAAACAAGTTACTGTCACTAGCAGCGACAATAATATCCTACCTGTGTTATAAGTAAAGAGCCAGGCCAGACTGCAGCTGATCAAAACCCTCACATTAGTGATGAACAGTTCTTTTTTAAAAAATCCGTATTAAGAGCTAAACTAGGGTGGTGCTTTCCCTAGAAAATAAGCCATGGATATTTGGGCTGGGATGTTACAGTAACTTCATTGTTCCATAGTGTTGCTGTAAATTAAACTACATTGTTTCATAATGTTGCTGTTTACATTAGTCATGGAATCTACAGACTTTACAGCAGTTAGAGGTATATTTGAAGGTTGCAGCACTAAATCAGCATCTGTTTGAGCAGTAAAAAAACATTCCCAACTTTGTTACTATTTGACCTGTTTGATAAAAATAGGCCAATTGTTTTTTATTTACCAAATATGGTAATTACTGGTTTGACTGTACATGTGATAATAATGTTAATGTGTATATTATTATATTATGTATTTTCAGCGAAGGAGAAGATTGTAACAGATGCTGGCAAGCTGTATGTACTAGATATCTTATTACAGAGATTGAAGGATGAGGGTCATAGAGTACTGATTTATTCACAGATGACCAAGATGATTGACTTATTAGAGGTATGTTACCTTTATATTATCACAGAGTTGTTTTTACTGAGAGGAGAAAGGAGCTGTCCTACCATCTGTTTATAAGGGTGAAAGAATTTATGATTTCCAGGGTAAACATACAAATGGGCTCCTCATCCTGCCTCCATAGACAAATTGTCAAATGACCCCCCCCCCCTAAGAATTGCAGAGGGGGAAATGTCTGCCATGGCCAAAAATGGGGGGGGGGGCAAATATTTAAGAATTGATTTTCAGACCCAAAAAAGACATACAAAAAAATCAAAAAAGTTGCTAAAAAACAGATTTTCTGGAGTTATGAAAATATCTGAACTTTCAACTTGGTGCTCCCTTATTTGCAAGTTCTGATGAAGAAAATGGACCAAATCTCAAAATATACTAAGAAATTATTTATTAAGAAAATATAAGTTATCCATATAGAGATGCTTCATTTGTTAACAATTACAAAGTACAAGATACAAATCATTTTCTATTTGCAAACACCCCTTTTGCCAGAGAGAAAAAATGACTTCAAATAACCAATGTAAACATTTTTCACAGGTTTTTTTATGTAATTAATTTGTATAAAGCTGTAACTCTGAGGCATGCAGTATACATAAAAATCATCATTTGAATTTTGAAAAAGTCTTATTCCAAAATACCTGTATGAAAGAAATAGGTTTGTATATTGCGTTAAGATCACATGGCGCAGACATGAAACCATTGCTTTATTAAAAAATAAAAAAGAATTCAAATAAATTTCATAAAAATACTACATTAGATAAAGCTTTCAAACCATTTATTTATTTTTATTATTAGATTTTCATCATCAACTTTCAATTTTACGTACTTTTACCAGCATTTTTACTACAGCACTTCGTTCAAAGGAAAAAAAATCACATTTATACTATAGCTTTTCATTCATTGAAGGAAACACATTTATTTGTGAAAACAGGTTTTCCAGGTCATTTACTTTGTTTACTATATATTTTAATGCTAATATGTTTTGGATAGTGTTTCCTATACCTTGATGAATGTATCCTGTCCATATAGAGGGTATTGTTGTGGACGATTTGTGTCCCAATCTGGACCTATTAAAGTAATGATGGTGGTCCATCATGTCTATTCAAACCTGTTTCCTTCAAGTAGATCACAATTAAAGATAATGATATATTTCAGGTACGGTTGATTTAAATAGATTATTTCAATTCTTCAAAGGCCATATCGAAGCTATTGTATTCTATTATATTGTATTGTGATATATATTGGTGTCAGTCGCGGGTAGATTAACCACGGAGGCCATTATACTCGGGGATAAGGATGTGTGGGTTTTTCCGGGCTTCCGGTCAAATCTGTTTGTTTTTTATGTAAATTTCGTTGGCGAAACATGTGACATGTATAAGAGTAGAAGTTTATTTTATGAGAATGCAGGGGGGTATCTGTTAACCCGTATGTCCAGGTGTGACCATCTCTCCTGTGGTCAGTTTGATTGATGTGTGAGATAAAGTCGTCTAACGTTAATATGAATGGGATTTTGTCACCTGACTTGTTTTCTTTATGAAATTAAATGTTGATAACATTTATGAGAAAAAAATAAACATGTTATTGTGCATCAAAATGTTTTCTCTTAGAAATTCTGTATATGTTTAATTTCAGTTTTGCTTTGATAGAAAGATAATTATGTTAATACAGAAATTTAGATTGTTTCTTTATAAAAATTAAAATAATATTGGTATTCTGGTATAAAATGGCTGGTATAAAATGGCGGTGATTTTGACTATTTGGAAGGTGGTCATTTATTAGTTTAAATTTACCTCTGGTCTTGCCAAATCTATGGATGCATTGAGAGAAATAAGTTTGCTCAAAAGCCATGGCCATAAAAAATCTGATTTTGACTTGTGTGTTTTGCCTGAAGCATTTCTTTATTTGCCCGTATAATATCCGTATAGTTAATTCTTGTGAGAATGAAATTCACATGACCACACAGGCTGTGGGACAACCTGGGCAATGCGGATGGTTGATTTTGCTGCCCCTGCACGCAATATAGATTTCACTGACTGACGAAAATGTAACATATTTGCAATAACAAAACAAAAAATTGTTTTTTAAAATTTTCTTAGTTTTATAAACCAGGAACTGCTTGTTAATGATATCTACTCTAGTTTATACATTTATACATCAACATCAATGTATAATCCTTATATTGATATATTTAAACATTTGGTGCTCACAGCAATTATTATTGATCTATACCTGGACCTGCCTGTATATCTAGACGCTCAGATTAAGTATTTCGATACATATATTAAAATCTCTGAAACTACATATTTGTTGTTACAAATCTGAGGTTCACATCATCACAACACATAAAAATAAGAGGTAATTTCATTTAAATCATTTAAGGGAGAGATAAATCTCATTTTGGAAATACATGTTACTGGCATTTTATAAATTAGCTTCAAATCAAGGACAAGTAGTTTATTCAACAAGTTAAGATTGGACAGTCTGACACGGTGGGAAATTTGTTTTAGTTTGATAGCAAATTAAGTAGAATCAGATGAGTTACAAGCGTGGCCGTGTTTCCGGCTCACTGGACACTGTTATTGTCATCTGCTCTCGTAAATTTTCGTTGAATACTGACCCCTACCTTTTGTTTACAAACTTTTCAGGATGTTTGACTACACGATCTTATTGTCTTGAAGCATCATGGGAAACTGGGCTATCTCGTATCTTAATACGGTTTAATTTACAGCGATTTTATTTTAATGAGGAGAACGCGGGTCAGACAATTAGCGGAGACAGCTTGTGAAATTCCCGCAGGCTCGGTTCTCATTCATGCCAATTTATGCGACAGTTTGCAACAGTTGTTGGTCTTGATAGCCAGTGGCTAGTTTTCAAATTGTAGGTTTCTGTCGTGAAATATACACACTGTGCATCACTTTGAAATTGGAAAAACTTTCAAAATTGCTCTTATTAGATTTTGAATTTAGATTTGTGGCGAACATGTCACTTAAGGCTGTCAGATTTTACCTGTAATCTTGAATAAATTGTACGATATTGATTAAAATTATAGGAAAAGTGCTTAACTTCGCCACAATCATTCATCCACTAAATAATGATTGTTGCAAATTACAAAAAAACGCTATTTTTTTGTGACATTTTTATTGGCATATTGAAGATGCTATCAGAAAATGATCAGATGACAAAAATTATCTTTTGATGACTGAAAATTGGTGTATTTTACTGTTATATTATTTGATAAATTGGAAGTTACGATTTGGATGAAGAATCATTTAGAAATTGACTGAATGTTTTTGACATTTCAGTTTTTGTAAAAGTTTTTGAGCTCATGTTAACATAAAAGCAGTTGTCATCAATGATCATTTATTTCATGCATGGCAGGCTTGGGGGCTTTCAAAATTGCACAAATTGTAAGCGGGGATCTGTAATTGTCATTGCACAGGCAAATTGTATTTGAAATCTTTGATGCTCTGGTTACACTAACACATGTGGATAAAGACCTCCAGGTACAGTATGTCATGAACGAGGCAGCTCATTAGATAGAAACACCTTTATCCCACCTTGATGACTTTCTTATATGAAAAGAATTAACCTTGTTGATAGGTGTGTCTATGTTTGGAACATTTTGTATGTGCCAAAATAAATTTTTATTTATGTCTCTATTTTCTGCAGAATAAGTCCTACCTTACCCAAGGAATGAATAAGTCACGGTTTAGTTGAAACCAAATTATTCGTTATAATTTATAAAAAAAAGTTTGAAAATCGCAATGATTTTAGTTTAAAAGATGTTATCCGGAACTCGGCAAATGTGGGTTTTTTTCCAAGCTAATCACCTGATACAAACTAACATTTGCCGGTGCACTACAAGTTACAATAGATTAGTCAACCTGTTGTGCTTATTTTTCAAATTTGTGTACCACTTAATAAGCTGGGAAAATATTCCAGCAAAATATTCTTAATTTAAGAGTAAGTTTATCATCAGAAGCTCAATACAATGTTGGAAACATTTGTTTAATTGTAATTAAAAATTAATTTAATAGCCGTTTATCAAGAAATAACAGAATTGATCTTGCAATGTTGTAAATCGATGTTGTTTCGACATTTTGCCACATTAAACTTTTTAAAACTTTTATGCATGAGTAATGCATTATGTATCAGTAAAAAATAACCACCGCTTAACAATTATAATTATCATCAAAAGGAATAGAAAATGTGATTAATAACAGACATTAAAATCTGATTACAAGATCTGATTGGGAATCCGATCAGATAAAAAATAACTAAAGGGGAAAAAAAAATATTATCTCTGTAAAATTGGATTGGAAAATTTCAATATGGCCATCTGTAACTATTGGACAACCGGCAGTATAGCATAAAAAATTAAAAACTAAAATGTTACCTCTAACAAGATGTCAGGTGCTATTTAAAATCACGACAGAAAATCGATGGGGCGCGACACGATGAACTTTCTTTAAGATCCCAGACGCATAAACCTTCTTTTTAAAAAGGGAGCTTTGATTACAAACATTGATAGGGGACTTTAATTATGATTTTTAGGCGGTAAAGATTACAATGTAGTATTTAGTGATGGACGTATTTTATGATGATCAGATTGTTATATGCACGCTGTCAGCTGTCTTGGGTTAAATACACGAGTCACAAGTTCAAGTCACCTGTTAAACAACTAGACCTTCCGATTTTTCTGTCTGATTATATTCTTTGAACATTTAGCTATAGTGACATCAAAAGTTTAAAGACATTTACTAGTATTTAAGCTTAATTGTGAAACCAATTCTTTCAACATACATGTCTATTTATCCCTTTCGAGCCCGTTTCCTGGAACTATTCGCTACTTGTGTCATTTAAGGAAAACATGGTAGGGTTGCACTTTAACCCACAATCCCTTAGTTGAGTGGCAGACAACTTAACCACTAGGCCATCACACCACTCAATAGTAAACAGTTCCTGCTTAAGTTGATGATTTTGCATTATGACCGTTCTTTGATTTTACTGTTATCTTTAACTGAAGAGTGCACATATTTATAGACTGCCCTGCCTTTATAATATCATCATAGACAAAATATAATTGCCTTATAGGACTCTAAGAGTTAATGACTTAAAACTTCACTTTCATTTAAAAGGACATTGTTTAAATGTAAAGATTTTCTTTTAATTACTCTTGTTTAAGTTATCTTGAATTTTGCCAGAGAAGTTAACAAATGTATAAAGTTTATTTTGTGAAATAATTTATTAAACAATTAAGCTGTATCGGGTTGTGTCATTCTAAAATGAACAATTCACCCGAAAATATTCCGATATTTTACTGTCTACATTAAGGAAGCAGCAGTTATTTGTGCAAAACAAATTAATATGTTTATATCAGAGTACACACGCTTCAATTGACAATTTGATAGTCGTAATTTGTTTTGATTAAAGTTCCCGCCAATAATAAAATGTCCAGTTATAATATCTAGCGTTATTACTCAGATAAAATAAACTGCCGGACAATATATATTTACTGGGTTTTACAATGACAACACTTTGGTTGTAAAAGAGTTGGACTACTGTATTTTGTATGTCATCAATGGCCGTAAATTAAAGGGTATGCATTTCTCAAGAGAACCTTGTCCTTTTGAAATATGACCAACTGATAATGGTCATTGTTTATATGATTTAGTTATCTGACACCCATCTCTTTGTATTTTCCTATCTTACAATCATCATGTTAACTTGTCTTCTAATTGTACTGATTAGGTCTTGATAAATTTATGTTGAGGGAAAATAGAAAAAGAGGGCGGGGCTAATATGATAATACATCTCTGTCTGATGACCATTGCCTTTCTTGTTTTCTATTTTGTTTTCATTATTTCAAATAATAGAGATTAAAGTGGATTAAATGTTTAAAAATGATTTAGTGGCCCGCAGTTGATGTTTGAAAATGATTTAGCATCCCAGGTTGGTATTGTCCATTCAGGTGATTGTTAGTAATTAAAGTTTGTAGAGATAGTGGAGGTGACGGCCAGCGGACAGATAACTGTCAGATTTATTATAAGCGGATCTGCTCCTGTTATTTATGAATTAAAGTCACGATAACGGAAGCTGTTTGATCTAGACTACCTTGCCAGTTATGTTTGTATATTGCGTCTGTATTTAAAATCAAATGACTGTTTTGATTCTTCCATGTTAAAAAAGGTAAATAGCTAGCTTATGGAAGACTGGTGGCTCTACTTAGTTGCCTATTTGTTTCTGAAAGAGTGCACAGAGATCTTCGTTACAGAGTAGCCAAAATGAAAAAAAGTGAAAAAAGAAACAGGACAAACCTGTTAAACAAATGTAACATTGCATAGTCAAGATTAATATGCATTTCCATCTAAAACCCTGTGTAGTAGTATAGTGTTGTATGACCGTAATGTGTCAATGTGCTGTTAAACCCAAACAAACATTTACAAAACCAAGCAATATCTTGGTTATGTTTTCTCCAGTGGCTAAAATCTTGACATAATACCCTACCTGTAAATGTGTGGCCTAACCGTAAATGAAATTTGTTTAATACTTTACGATTTTGCATTGTCTGTACTATTCAATAAGTTGTGTATCAGTCTTTTAATGGAGTGTCATATTGCTAAGATATGAGGGTTTTTCTTTTATTTCTTCAAAGTTCACAATAGTCTGATATTACATTAACATGTTACAAAATAATAAGTCAAAGAGGTCGCGGCTGGAAGTTGAGAGGGTTACCACACCCAGAGTGAGCGCTACAGTTTCCTGTGTGAACTGCTCTTCTATCTCAAGACTTCTACATCGATACATGTTGTACACAGGGCTATCATGGTCACAGCTGTGCCTTAATAACCGGGTATCACGCTCATAATTACACCCATATCTTGTCTCTTTATGTCAAATCAGCCATCATTAACAGGTTTAAATGATGTACCAAATTTGATCGGTGATTCTTTCAGTTTCAAAGGAAGTGTGAGCCTCGAAACAAATTTAAAGCTATCGGCTTACATTACAAACGTTTCTTAGGTGTTTTTAAAACACACTAACATGGTTATTATGAGATATAGAAACTTATTGTACAGGGAAAGAAATATTTACATTTCATTTAATTGTGTTGTATTGCAATTCCTTGATACTGTAGAAGTTTTCCTTTGATGTCGATTTAAAGAATATCGGAGGAATGTTATTTTTCCTTGACTTCATTTCTTTCGGAATTGTCTCTAAAAATAGATTCTAAATTGATAGTTCTGATTACGAGAATAGTTTGGCATGTGAATTTTAATGACAGAATTACTTTGATGTTTCCTGGTTTAAAAAATTATAGAGATCTAAATGAATTCAAGTTTAAAAAAAAAAAAAATTTGAAAAAAGCATTGCAGCCTTATTGTAAAAACTTGAATATACTTTTTATATATCCCATGTCTTTTGTATAAACATGGACTTTAATCGTTATCTAGTTTTCAACAAAGAAAATCCTAAAAACCTCAACTAAACTTGTACCTGTTTATAAGAAATATATATTTAACATTGGTATTTATCCATGATCATATATGAATTTAACTTTTGTTTTTCAGGAGTACATGTGGCATAGGAAACACACATACAAGAGACTAGACGGTTCCTCGAAGATTTCCGAACGTCGTGATATGGTGGCAGATTTCCAGGCGAGGTCGGACATCTTTGTATTCTTGCTCAGTACACGAGCTGGTGGTCTCGGTATTAACCTGACAGCAGCAGACACTGTAAGTGTTATTATTGAGATTTTAAGTCTGGGCATATGTCTTACTTTGATACATGGTGAAAGAAACAGCTTTTATTTAATAAACAAAAATTGATCTTTTGAGTTGAATCAAGGATGTGACACCTTATTGCATCAATATATTGTAAGTTGAAATTACAGAGGACCATTTGATTCATACTTCTATATTAAAAGAAAAACATGTATTTAGCTTTACAGTTACTAGATAGGAATGTTTAAAGTATTTATAAGTTAATAAAATAAACATATACATATTTGTATGCAAGTAGATATTTGCAAAATAATGATTTTGAAATACATACAGTGACATGGAACTACCAATGTCATAGTGTATAGTAGGCCAGGTATTTACAGACTCACAAGATTCTATTTTACAGATTGTGCAATTTTAGAATTTCAATATCAGAAAATTAACTGGTCGAAGGAGAACAAATCACAAGTCTATTACATTTAAGATGTGCATGATGTATATAAATTTTCTGTTATAACAGTTAAGAATGTCAATTAACTAGATGCAAGCTTGATTGTCTTGTTCTCAGTGTATTCTCACGAATGACAATCAAGCGCCACAGCCCCCTCTCTTGGGCATCCTGGTCACTACTTCGCTGATTGTTATCATCTTATGCCTCAGTCACAAATGACCAACGGACATTTGTAAATCGCACTGACGCCGTCTTGACAAAGGGCGGCGACTGCCCGGTCTTTGAATGCAGTTTGTAATATCAATTCAGCAAGAATCGCCCGGCGACAGTTTCATTCATGACCAATCACGGTATCAGATTTAAAATGCTCAGCTTTCGTGGAATCGTCAAAGCTGCTGATGTTTAAAAATCGTTGAATTTGGCAGCGACTATTTATTTGTGACCTAGGCATTTAAGAGTTGTTTTGTTCTTTTCTGAGAGATATGTTAACTTGTGATTTTCTGTTGCTAGGTGATATTCTATGACAGTGATTGGAACCCGACAGTAGATCAGCAAGCTATGGACCGAGCTCATAGACTGGGTCAAACAAAACAGGTTACAGTCTACAGGTTGATCTGTAAAGGTACAATAGAGGAACGTATTCTACAGAGAGCAAAAGAAAAAAGTGAAGTAAGTTCAGAGTTAACCATTTATACCCTTAAATTTCCTAATATAGAAATGTCTTTTCTTGGTCAAAGTTTGCTACTTAAGATTAAATGAATATAAAAAAAAAAAATGCAATGTTCAAAAAACTGTGTCAATTTTGTTACATTAAACTGCAAAAATGATTTTGAGTACTAGTGTAAAAGTCCCTTTACCAAAAGATTTAATGCCCCCCACCCACCTTGGAATAGTTGCCATTTCTTATACATTGTGTTATATTCTAGTTGTTATGAACTTCTTGGAAAATTATTTAAAAGAAAAGCGCTTGTGTCTAAAAGCATCTTGAGTCATCAAAGATGGCATCACTTCATTCACTGTAAAACTATTTGGCTTGGAGTAGTTTCTTTGTCAGACAAATTATGAATGAAATATAATGGATGTTTATCTAGATCCAGCGTATGGTGATCAGTGGTGGTAGCTTCAAGCCAGATACTCTCAAACCTAAAGAAGTTGTCTCCTTGCTTATAGAAGATGATGAACTACAGAATAAAAGTAAGTTGGTTTGTAACAACCTCTGTGCAATCTGACTTGTGTAGTTTCGATATTCATACTCCTTAAAATATTGTGACCTATTTCATTGAATTTTGCCTCATTTATTGACATATAATTAAGAGAAGTACACTAACTTTTGGAAAGAATGATTATGATCTTGATAATACAGTTCTGTAAAATAAAATCTAGAGAAAATTGCTTATCAGGAAAACAGTAGAAAATACAGATAATGTTTAGCCAGCTTATCTCTGCCCTCTGGTCATGGTCTGAGCTCTTCTGGCTTGGCTATTCAGTCTGTACTTATTTTGAAAATTTTAACAAAAATGATGAATGGTTTTGTCTCGCTTAAATTAATGACATGTCCATTTAAGATTACGGCCTTTGTGGCTGAGTGGTTAAGGTCATTGATTTCAAACAACTAGCTCCTCACCACTGTGTATTCGAATCCCAACAGGGATTTGAGGAAGCTATCCAGATAGCTTACAAAACATTTATTGTTCCACTGCGGTGCCTGTTTGTGCCATTAAATAACAGGTCTTTCTCCAAGATCAGCATATTACATATACTGTGTAAACCCAGCTATTTAAGATTTTAATGTTTGGTAAGGGTTTAAAGAAGGTTAAGGAAAGGATATTCTTTAACAGTGAACTGGGTATAATATATATATATATATATATAATATTTTGTGTTTAGTCAAGATGAGATCAAGAGATAAGAAAGACAAAGAAGAACAATACAAGGAGAAAGACAGAAAAAGAAAAAGAGAACAATATGTAAAGGTAAATGACACATAGTTTACACTTACATACCTGAGTTTGATTGTGATAAAAAAACTATTAAGTTTATTTGAATTAGACTTAATAACGCAGCACTGATGCATATATAGAAACATCAACAAGACTGGGAGAGCTGCATGAGCCCATATTCGCATGGAAGTTTTGTGAATAATTATAGATTACAATGAATTAATTTGAAAGTTGGATTGTTTTTAAAGAAGTTTACATGCATTCAGATGACTTAGATAGTTAGCTATTGAGTAAAACACACTGGAACTTTAAAACAATGGCAATATTTATAGAAAATATACTGCAGTTTTGAATACAAATACTGTTATTTTACACAGAAGAGGGAGTCAAAGAAAGCTAAAACAGAGGAACAGAATATGACTATACCTGCACCAGATACTGACTCATTAGCCAGCTTTGATTCCTCCAGACCTGTTAGTCCTCAAAGTGAGGTATGTAAACGTTTTTGCTCGTAAAAAAATTATGCTGCAGCCTTAATTTTTTTGCTAGTTATTTCTTCTGTTGCATTTATTTACTGTCTTCATACCACTTTTATTTTTTTAAAAGAGATCTTAGGTAGTTTGCATAGTGGATTTTTCCATTGAACTAAATCTTCTGAGACATTCTGTTTTCATTAGTTTAAATTAACCTTGATTAAAATTAATTATTTAATTAAATTCCAATTAAGTGTTCAAACCCAAATGTTTCTTGGGTAGCTGTGGCTGAGTGGTTATGTGTGTTGACTTAGAAACACTTTCCCTTCACCACTGTGGGTTTGAATCCTGCTTGGGAATGTGAATTCTTTTATGTGAGAAGGCTATCCTTCTTCATCTGAACATTGATAGTTCTACTCAGGTGCCCGCTTGTGTCTATAATAATGTGTAAAGGAACACCTGAGGTCTTCCTGCACCAGTAAAAAGGGAAAGGTGCCTTAAGACCTTCGAAGTGTCAGTATGATGCAACAAACATATGTTTTTAGTTATATAATTTTCTAAAATTTGAATACAGGATTTTAGAATGCATTTACCAATGTATGTTACAGTTGTCAGTTGGAAGTGAGACTCCCCAGCAGGCCATGTTTAATATAGATGACAGTAGCAATGATGCCCTGGTGATAGTTGATGACGCCTCCACCACACCTACACCCACACCCAAGAAGACGAGGGGTCGGGGAAGACCCAAGGGTTCTGGAGTGGGTAGAGGTCGACCGAGGGGTCGAGGAGGTACAAAAAGGGCATTGTCTGCTGCAGAGATAGCAGGGGCCCAGGCGGGGATGACGGCAGCTTATAAAGCTTATGGATATAGTTATACTGGTAATTACTGGATTTAAGCTTCTTGAATCCTCTTGAAATAATTTTATGTGTATGAACTATTTATTTCAAACTAACTTCATTGTTTGGCGCAATAGTTTAGTGTTTCTTAGATGTGTCAAGTTGGCTCCTCTATAAATCAAATTGGCTTCTTTATTCGATTAACTAAATTTTTGTTCAGGGAATTTATTGTGTCGCCTTGAAAAGGTGACATATAGGGGTTACTTTTGTCGGCGGTGTCGGCGGCGGCGTCTGTGTCGGCGTCGTTGTCGTCGTCGGCGTCCCCTAAAGCTTGTCCGGAGCATAACTCAGTCACTATAAGTCTGATTGACTTCAAACTTGGTATGCATGCTTCTTTCAATAACCCGAAGTGCAGTGCACAAGGACCGGTACTCTGCAGTTCTTATTTTTTTGAGTTATTGCCCTTTGTTAATTTTCATACTTTAATTTTGTCTGGGCCATTTCTCTTCAACTAAAAAAGCTATGGACTTGAAACTTCATAGGATGATAGATCTCATTATTAAGAAGTGCAGTGCACAAGAACCAGTACTCTGCACTTCCTAATTTTTGAGTTATTGCCCTTTGTTAATTTTCATACTTTATTTTTGTCCGGGCCATTCCGCCTAATGTATAAAAGCCATGGACTTGAAACTTCATAGGATGATAGGTCTCATTAAGAAGAAGTGCAGTGCACAAGAACTGGTACTCTGCATTTTTTTATTTTTGAGTTATGGCCCTTTGTTAATTTTCATACTTGATTTTGTCCAGGCCATTACTCTGAAAGTATAAAAGTTATGGACTTGAAACTTCATAGGATGATAGATCTCATTAAAAAGAAGTGCAGTGCATAAGAACTGATACCTGCATTTCTTATTTTTGAGTTAATGCCCTTTGTTTGATTTTCTTACTATATTTTTGTCCTGGTCATTTCTCCTCAAGTATGAAAGCTATGGACTTGAAACATCATAGAATGATAGATCTTATTGATAAGAAGTGCAGTGTACAGAAACTGCTGCTCTGCACTTATTAATTTTTTAGTTATTGCCCTTTGTTTATTTTTCATATTTCATTTTTGTCCTGGCCATTTCCCCTAAACTACATTTGTTCACAAGGCGACACATCCGACTCGCAGAGTTCTAGTTGAATTTATTATTCAGATAAGGAAAATTATGCTTATGATGTAATTCATTAAATGCTATTTTAAATAAAAAAAATTTAATGGCAATTTTAAATATGTTTTTTCAGGGCCTCCAGTGAGTAATTCGTCATCTTTCAGCTCATTATCTGATGCCACTAAAAATTCCTCAAACAAAACTGACAATAGTTGACAAAAAATTGAATAAATTTGGAATTGTGGGAAACAAAATATGTCATGGAGCCCTCGCTATGATAATGGCAGACCTGTGTTGCCAGTGTAGAGTCAGATCTGGCAGTATTATGCATTCATACTTACCAGATTATATACTATTCGACTTATCAGTAATAAGTATTTTGACTCTCAAATCCCTGAAACAGATAAATGGACTGTTCCAACATGAAAGCTGGGCTAGTTCAACTGACAAATTCAAAAGTGAATAAAAAAAAAGATATGCAATGTGTAATTGTTATTCATTTCAATTTACCAGTATGCCAAATGTGCATTTACTGGATATAGAAAAAGAAAGGGCTAGGCAAAGTTGTACACAAGATAGGGACTTGAGAACAAAGTGTATTTTTGCAGCAAAAAGACATGTGTTGATTTTTGTTTGTTTGTTTAGAGGTGGTATACTGTAGAGTGTGTGTTCAAGGATTATTTAATGTGTGCTATAAACTTGTAAAATGTTTGTTTTATTGAAGAGAAACCTACACCTGCTGGAATGGATGGTGAATAGCCTTTGCCACCAGTATAGAGCCAGACCAGCCTGCACGTCCATGCAGTAGTCTGACCAGGCTGTAGGCTGGCAAACTTTGAATTTTCATCCTGAGAACCCCAAAATTAATAATTGACAGTTCTAAAATGGAAGCTGGACAAGTCCATTTTAGAAATTCAGCAGGTTAAGGGTTAAGTCAAGTAAAGTATGTAATGTTAAAACTGATAGTTCAAAAATATTAAGTTTGTGTTTGCTCAGTCATTACTGGATAGCTTATAGATTTCTGTTTCCAGGTTTGCTGTTCAGTATATATTTATTATATTAATTGTTATATTGGATAGCATGACAGATTTTATGAAGTTTAAACAAGATTGTTGTCGTGTATTCAAGATCATGTTTTGCTAACTATGTCAAAGAAAATTGTTAACCATATTTCAAAGGTGAAATTGTTCAAGAAAATATTATTTTTTACCAGTTACATATACATGTTTACACATACATGTACTTTGATACTGAAAAAGTAAATGAAATACTAGTATTTTCCCACACAAGGATGGCATTTAGTAACTTATTACATTGTATTTATAAATTGTTCATATGGGTGCCTCATAGGTCAATAACATTTTTGTTTACTGTATTGTATATCATTGAAAACCTCAGTTTGAATCCCATGTAAATTTTACAGATTTCATTTCTCTTGCGAAAAAGTTAAGTTATATTATTTTAATCATATAATCAGGTCCTTTACAGAGTAACAGCTCTTGTTCAACAGCAACTAAATATATATAGGTAAACACCAGTTATAGTGGCAAATTTCGTTTAAAAGGAGATTGACGATCCATGTTATAGATTGAAATGCTGTTGAAATAGGTTGTATTTTCAGCCTGTTTATTAAAATATCTGCCTTGGTCAAATCGGCTGTTTTCTTTGGCACATCTGTTTCCTCAGATAAAAATGAAAATCTGGAGTACTCAATACTGTATATGTTTGTGATAAAGTTTTCTATAAAAAATAAGGAAATGTATGAAAGAATTTTGATTTAGGTAATACAAAGTCAGGTACCTACAGTATGATCTCATACTATATAATATTATTATATATATAAATAAGCATTAGATCTACAGTTCACTATGCATGTTAATAGCTTACTTAGCAAATGATTCTTGTAGCAAGATTTGAACAAATCAGGTGTTATGCAAATGGTTTTCAATGGTCTTTTTTCTGTGTTTTTTGTTACTAAGGGATTAATAATATGCTTTGGTGTATGCAACGTTTGGGCTAAAGATTTTATTATTTGGTTTTATGTCCAGTCTTTATTAGTTAATGAGGATCTTTGAATGGGTTGGTGGGAAAAATGCTATCATAGGGTAATGGTCATTTTATTCTGTTACAGCAGAGGATATAAATGCAGTTTTACTTGATTCAGACAGTCAGATTAATTTTGGCTCTACCAAGACAAAAAGTAAGTTTAAATGAAGTGTGACAAATAATAGATAATTGTTTACCCTCTTACTTTTCTAAAACCAAGCCTGTACGCAGTCTGACCAGGCTACACTGTTAGCTGACCAATTTCAATTTTTTAAATTTAAATCCAATATAATAAGATATGATTGAATAGTGAACAGTGCAGACCATGATTAGGTGGCACTAATGTGCCAGTTGATCATGGTCTGAACTAGTATCACGGGCACAACCTGTTGCAGTTTGCGTGCTAAGACTTGCGTTCCTTGAGCTAACAATGTGCTGCTGTGACTTGAGCTGGACAAATCATGTTCTTTATAACAGTATTTCATCCAGAAATATATCTACTGCCCTACGTCAAACTTGTTTAACAAAGGCCACCCATTGAAGAGACTGAACATGGCCTTTACAGACAAGCGGTTTTTATTAACAGGTTACTTTGGGGGGGGGGGGTATCAGAAAAGGGTTGTTGAAAAGTGGTGTTTATTTACAGGGTGGTCTTTATTCTGAGATGGACTTTCACAAATTTGACCATATGTGTAGTTTCCATTTTAATTTACTAATTTTTATAATGAATTTTCCCAACTTCACAGTGTTGATGATTAACCAAATTAATGATAAACAGTTTTACCTATATGCATTTGTATGACATTGTAATTTTCTTTATTTTGTGATTCAGTTTAGTCACAAGTGAAAGTGTTTGTTAGATTTGTTAAAGGTCTTTGAAATGTGTTATTGATTGAAGAAAATGTACAATTTATTAATATGATATTGATTTGTGTATTAAAGACAGGAACCATGATTTATTCTGTAGGGATTTATTAACGTTGTCTTGTTTTTTATGTATATTTGGTATAGATATTGATAATGCATTTGATTTATGAAATAGATAGTTGTTTATAATGTTCTAATTATAGACATAAAATAATAATAAGTACAGTCTTGTTTATTTGTAGAGATGTTACAATTTTATAAATTAATAATAAAGTGTCTACATTTCTAATTGTGATTGATTATTTATTTATTGATTGATTGGTGTGGATGAGTTAGTGTCCTTGATGGAAACTGGGTAACTGATATGTAACCCAGATAGTAATAAAAATGTATGTCAGGGTTTTGCACAGATTAGATTAGATAGCGTGGAAAATTACTAGCATAGAAATCTCATTGAAATTTCAAAAATTTGAAATTAATGGAAATCGCATGGATCAATTACGGAATTTTAAAATTCTGCAATGAAAATCTGAAGGTTTAATTATTGGATAAGAAATCCTTAAAACTCCAATACCTAAGGACAGGTACCAATGGTTAAAAGTACTAATACAAAATAGAACATTTTTCCTGCCTACCTTTTACACGGAAATCTTTTCTACGACACCTTAGTATAATAATTTATATAACCTCGAGTTTGCATCTCTGAATATCATGTGAGGGGATGAAAGCAATGAGTGTAATTGAAAGATTTTTCTCATGAACCCTGATTAGACCTGATCGTGACAAGTTGAGAAGAAATATTTTCCTAGACAGGAACCATACCAGAGTAAACGAACTCAAAAATTTAGCATAAGCCCAAAGATCATTTGCTTTGAAATGAAAATGGTTCAACCTTGGTTAGTGGTTGCAGCAATAATGATTCGCCTATGCACGTGTATCATGATAGAAGTGTATGCAGTCGGATAGTACTAACTACTAATGCTTGCTTAATTTCATTATTTTGGTATTGAAGTTCTTACAATTAACTGTAATTTCCAAGACATGTCAATTTATATCTATCTAAAAGTGCAAGGTCCAATGTTTTTGCTATGCCTTTGTTCACAATGGAT